GTTCTTATGTATCTTGAAATTCAACAACCGTTATAATTTTACGTTTAGGTATATTGTAGGTATTCTAAACCTTTAATCGATATCAACTCAAAGTCAGGTATTAATTTTTGCGGGGCGGCTCTTTGTATCACTCGGTTGTTGGAATATCAATTATTATATTATGTATTATTTATAATATTGTATTAAACCAGCAATTCAATACCAAATATTCGTCTTATTATAAATCTATAGTTATCCTTTCATTCATTAGCTTCAAGTCATAGGCGTGTGCAGGCCTCTTTTTCAGGATATGCAGAAGAGAAGACTGACAGAGCGCTCTGAAAGTTATTTTAAGCTCGTAAAATTCTGATAATATGTATGTATACACAATTCACAAATATTGAAAAACCTACTGTTTAATTAAAAAACTATTGTAATAAATACCATTACACAATACAAGAAGGATGTATTTCGCAAATACTTGGTAGTTGATAACTGGATGTTTCAATTTTCCAGAGTCGATGTTCGCCCCTCACAGAACTTCAGGGTATGCAGCTGCATACCCTGCATACCCCCTGCGCACGCCTATGCTTCAAGTACACACCTACATAATTTATACACACTACCCGCATACTAGCACTCCAAGTTTTGATCGGCGAACCCGTTCACTTCTCCTGAGTCGCACATTCATCACATACACACATAATACTGTTTAAAACAGATCAGTCAGTGTGTCAGTATAGCACTCGAAGAAAACGGTGACCGGGCAGCACGGACTTTTATTGCAAATTTGCAAATACACGTTATATATACCTATTTTTGAATCAGAGTTTTAGTTTACATGCTTTTTGTATACATTTAACAAACTACATAAATCTGTATWAAAAATATTAATAACTACGTATTGAAGTAATTTTTTTCCGGATTAAAAATGATAATTTCTGTCTCTAAAACTGTTTCACTATACTTTGAAATATTTTTAGGTAATCAATTATTAGATAATGTCAAATTGATATTAGAATTTATAACAGAATGATAAACAAAAAATGAAATGCAATTTTTAGCGCATTATATTGTGCATCTTATAGTATTGTGTAATTTACAAAAATAAAAATTATTAAGAATATCACAGTTTTAATTTTATATAGTATTTATGATAATAAAATATACATTTTAGATAATTGAAAATAATAACTTATAAGTAAATATCGCTCTGCTGTGCAGTGGGTTACAAGTAGATAGAATTAAATTTGAATCCAATGATATTATATCATTGTATACGAAAAACGATTCTGAGCGGAGACGATTTATCTGTCTATGATATATTATAGATTATTATTATTTATTAAAATATTTGACTTTCTAGTGGACATTTTTTTTTATTTTTGATAAAGGTAGACAAATGTATAGGGAATCTTGAATTGAATTTCCAAATCTTAGATTYAAAAARAAAAATTTTTATGAATTTCTATCTAAGATAATTTGAACTTGCCGTAATATTTACATATTTAGTAAAAATTTAAACTTTAAATGCATATAAAAAAAATTGTTGACAAACTTATAAGAAATCTTGTATTAAATAGATTTTAAAAGAAAATTATATGAAATTGTAGCTTAACAAAATTACATGGAATATTTTAAACAACAATTATTTACAAATTATTTTATTTTTTAGCTTTAATACCACTTACTTTTAGTAATAAAAAAAATTTCTGAACATTTTTTTGTTTAACATAAAATATTATTCAGAGGTACGAGTATTTAGTAAATAATATTCCTAATTTTCTATTACATACACCCGATGTATAATATTTTTCATTAGGTCTTAAATACTTAGGAAATAATAATGATAAAAATTTAAAATAATGAATACCTACATTTATTATGATACTCGTACAAATCAAAAATTCCCATTTAAGAAGATTTTTAAATGAATTACAGAACTCATGTGTAATTTTCAATAATATTTTTAATTTACACACTCATAGAGTCATAACTCATTTAAATATGATCAGTCCACACCACAAACAACGCATCGGATTCCTCCGGCTCCGCTGGGTCTCGTGTAAATGCGGCGTTTAGCTCGCGACACGAACCACGGGGTRACCGAAGTTTCGATGGAGTTCGGCGAYGCAGGTGTTGTAGCTGGTGAGGAGACGAAGTTGTATGGAGGTGTTCTTTAAAAGTTTTAAATGAACAAATAAAAACAAAGAGAAAAAATATTAATGGGCGGAATGAGCTGATGATGTAAAGGAGACAAGGGAAAGTAATATGGTTATGACAAGGGGAAATAACACGGTTATGACCAGGATAGCCAAACCTTATGTTTAGGTTACATTTTGAAAATTTAGGATAGGGCCGCTTCATATTGATCATTTTCCTCTACACGGTATTCCATTTTTACCGATATTAAGATATTAGGCATCTTGAAATATTTTTCACCCTACTATAGATTTATAGGACTTCGGCGCCATAGTTTATAGCTAGTTTATTTTTTTAAATTAGGAACTTTGAATAATATTTTTTTTTTCATCAATAAATGATCTTTCAATATTTGAATAAACTTGAAAATGTAATACAAAGTCTCATAAGGCGGTTGCTCTTAATGTTATTTAAAAAAATATATATAGCGTAAATTCAGAATAAATTAAGTTAGGATTTTGAAAAAAAATCGACATAATCACGAAAATTTTAAAATTAATTTGAGTTAGAAATAAAATATTTCTCTTAATATCTAAAATTTTAATTTTTAATATTAGATACTTTAAAAGCTCGTATAAATATATATCTATTGTCTACTTTAAACCAAACAATATTACAATGTTTTGACAGTCGACACGCACAATATGTATTTTCGAAAATTCTATATGATTTTTAAATCATTATTACATTTAGTTTACATTATCTATACATACGGATATTATCAAAGTTTTTTTATTATGGTAGGTAGTAGGTACTTAAAAATAAAATTTGTTTTTATAAGAACTTCACTTGAAAAGAATTTGTATCAATGTATACTTGTCTAGGAATTTCGGTGACATATTCTTCATAAATTTATTTTTAATGCTAACTTAGTGGCCAAATTCTAAACATGTAAAAATTATCAATCTCTAAATGTACGCTAGGTCAATGTTTTTAAAAACTAATTGTCGTACAAATGATTCTCATTAATCATTATACTCAGTTATGCATAGATTTTAGGTAATATTTCTTTTGTTGTAGTTTATACGAAGACCGTGACTTTCACAAACCCTGTACTATCCATACGTTGCAATTATCACCATAATAATATGTACGTTTGAGTGGTTATAACTGCAACGTATGGATAGTCAGGTTTGTGAAAGCCACGGCTTCGTATAAACTACAACAAAAGAAATATTACTTAAAATCTATGTATAACTGAGTATAATGGAATCATTTGTATGACAATTAGTTTTTAAAAACATTGTYCTAGCGCACATTTAGAGATTG